GCCAGTGGCTCACACCCGTCATCCTCGATCCAAGGATCAAGGTTTGAAGCCAGTCTGGACAGGAAAGTCTATGAGACTCTTACTGCCAATAAATTATCAAAAATGCCAGAAGTAGAACTGTGGCTCAGGGTGGTGGAGCACTAGCTCAGAGCAAAAAAGAAAAAAAAAAGCTCAGAGACAGAGCCTAGACTGTGAGTTTAAGCCCCCACCCCCAGCAAAAACAAAAAATTCAATTGACACACATGAACCTCCAATATTGCTATTGTTAGTGAGAACCATCCAATGATGCCCACCATTGTATGTGAGACACTTGCACACACTAAATTCCTATAAGATATGTGTGTGTGTGTGTGTGTGTGTGTGTGTGTGTGCCAGTCCTGAGGCTTGAACTTGGAACCTGGGCTTTTTTGGTGCTTAATTGGAGATGAAAGTTTCATGGGCTTTCTTGCCCAGGCTGGCTTTGAACCATGATCCTCCTAAGGAGTTAAGATTATAGGCGTGAGTCATTGTACTTGGCTCTTCTATAGTTTTTTTTTGACAGAAAACTGTCAGTCAGTTCAGATATAAAGCCTAAAACACAATTGAACAGCTGCTAAAATTTCCATAACCTAGATGCTAATTATTAAAACAGAATTGAGTATACTTTATTGGCAAACTTTAGACTGCTTTTCAATCTTCATTTGCTGCTAGGGTTTTGCCAGTAGCTATTCGAAGGCTTCTCTCAAAGACCTCTGCTTTTCTTTGACATAAAATCTGAACAACTTGCTATTTTAAAAAAATAGGGCATGTAATATGTGTGTGTGTGTGTGTGTGTGTGTGTGTGTGTGTGTGCTGTCCTGGGGCTTGAACTCAGGGCCTGGGTGCCGCCCTTGAGATTGGGTGCAAAGCACTCTACTTGAGCCACAGCTCCACTTCCAGCTTTTTTTCCAGAGGAGGACATTTGTGGGAGTTTCATGGACTTTCATGCCTATTCTGGCTTCAAACCCAATCCTCAGATCTCAGCTTCCTGAGTAGCTAGGATTATAGGCATGAACCACCACTACTGGAATTTTTGAGGAGACTTAATTCCCTAAAATGCTATTTTCCATTCATAACATGTAAAAATAATATATTAGAAAAGATATTCCTTCCCCTCATACAGTAATCCTAAAAAGCTTATTCATTGGCAATGAAATTTGAACATCCTTTTGCCCTTGCTAGTTATGTCTCTGGACTTCATAATAATATTCCCTGCTTATCATGAATAAAAGGCCAACTGTGTCTTCTGAGCTGCATACATTGAGACCTTTATCCCCCGGGGAAAGGCTGCCCAACACACCCTCACAGGTCAAAGCTCTTATTAAAAGTCCTTCCCGAGCACACTGAAGCCTGAAACAACAGAAGAATGGGCATGCAGAGGACTGGGAATTCAAGCAGTTTAAGATCTAGGTGTTGGAATACACAGTAAGGGAGGAAAAGAATGAATGCAAATAGTAATTTTTGGAAGCCAGGATAAAGAATATGGGTTGTACTTTTTCTTGGAGAAACAGCAAAGCCATCAGCAGGGCTTTTAGCTCATTGCTTTTTTTCTCAACTGCCTCTTTGATGACATGGATGACAGAGTCCCCAGAGTTTGTCCAGTACCTGAATCTGCAAGCTCATGCACATATATACTCCCCATACTGCAGGTCTCTACCGTGCAGGTATACTGGAAGAACAGGAATAAAACTGTCAGACTGTCTGTGGGGAAAAGGTTCTATTGCATTGTCAGACTGTCTGTGGGGAAAAGGTTTTATTGCACTATAGATTTACATTATCTTCTCTAGATAGAGCACAGGTCAGTGATAAGAACTAGAGTACACTCTCACCAACAATGCAGTAAGTTCCCTTCTGTCCACATCCCCGCCAGCATCTGTTGTTATTAGAGTTCTTGATTATAGCCATTCTAACTGGGGTGAGGTGGAATGTCAATGTTTTTTTGATTTGCATTTCTTTTATGGCTAGGGAGGTTGAGCATTTCCTCATGTTTCTATTGGCCATCCTTCTTTCCTCTTCAGAGAAGTTTCTCTTTAAGTCTTTAGCCCACTTATTTATTGTCTGTTGTTTCTTTGAGGATTTGTTGTTGGGGGATTTAATTTTTTGAGTTCCAGGTATATTTTAGATATGAGACCCTTGTCCATTGTATGGCTAATGAAGATCTTCTCTCAATCCGTGGGCTTTCTACTGATCTTGCTAGCTATGTCCTTTGCCATGCAGAAGCTCTGCAATTTCACACAGTCCCATTTGTCCAACCTTTTTTTAATTTGTTGTGTTTCTGGGTCTCTATTAAGAAAATTTTGGCCTGTGCCAAGGAGACCTAGGGTTTCTCCTATTCCATCCTGTAATGTTTTCAGAGTGTCTGCTTTGACTTTGAGGTCTTTGATCCATTTGGAGTTGATTCGGTTTCTCAAAAGACTCCACATAGAGCTCCCCTATGACCCAGCAATCCCACTTTTGGACATTTGCCCCAATGATCACAAACAAGACCATACTAAAGCTACCAGCACAACTATGTTTATTGCAGCATTATTTACCATAGCTAAGATATGGAACCAACCCAGATGACCCTCAGTAGATGAATGGATCTAGAAAATTTGGTATATATACACAATGGAATTCTATGCCTCCATCAGAAAGAATGACATTGTCCTATTTGTTAGGAAATGGAAAGACTTGGAAAAAATTATATTAAGTGAAGAAACATAGTTCCCATGGTTTCCCTTATTTTCAATATCTAGTATATGTCTGAGACAAGCAGAAATGGTCAGATAAGTTGATGTTAGGTAAAATGAACCCCAAGATAAGGATTCAAATGTTTTTTCTTTCTTGTGATTGTTTCTAACATATAAAATTATTTTTTTGTTGTTTTGTATGTCCCTCTCCCATGGTATAACCCCTGTTTTCACTGTATTGGATGTCGGTACACTTTGTGGAGGGGAAGAGAAAAAAACTAATTGTTTAAATAGGGATACAGGTGGACCCATTGCAACAATGAGATGTACAAGACACTATGTCGAAAAATGACCTTTACAAAATTTTTTGGGAGGGCGGAAGATGGGAAGAGATGGGAAAGATGGAAAGGGATGGGAAGGGGAAACAAAGGAGGAGGCAACAATGCTTTATAAGAAATGTACTCATTGCCTTGCCCATGTAATTGTAACCCCTCTGTATGCTATTTTCACAATAAAAAAAAACCCTGTCCTATTGGACAATGAGATGCACAAGACCTTATGTTGAAAAACAAACTTTACAACTTTGGCGGGGGGTGGGGTGGGGGGGTGAGGAGGGTGGAGGGTGGGGAAGGGGTGGGGGGGGCGGGGGGGGGGGCTGGAGGGGAGATGGGAGGGCAGGAATGGGAAGGGGAAACAAAGGAGGAGGCAACAATGCTTGATAAGAAATGCACTCATTACCTTGCTCATGTAATTGTAACTCCTCTGTATGGTATTTTCACAATTTAAAAAACTTATTAAAAAAAACAAAGAATTAGAGTACAACTGTAACTATGGCACCTGTGGCTCGTGACTATAATTCTGGCTACTCACGAGGCTGAGATGTGAGGATCACAGTTTAAAGCTAGACCTGGCAAGAGACTCTTTGTGCCCATTAACCACTAAAAAAGCTGGAAGTGGAGCTGTGGCTCAAGTGGTAGAGCACCATCCTTGTGCAGAAAAGTTAAGTGCAAATGTGAGGCCTTGAATTCACCAGGCCACATTTTTTAATGCCAGTGAGCAGATACTCCTAGTTTTAAATTTAGAAAATTGGACCCATCATCCAGGAGCTTCTCATATCATGAATGATTACAAGTAATAGATTCTCTAAAACTATTTAGTCATAGGCTATAGAGCAATCATAAACTCTATTTCCCTCCCAATTCAAGGTATAGGAGTGATGGTTCCCAATTAATATTTCATTAATCTTTGGAAAAAGAGAGAAAAACACACACCAGGGAGCCAAATATATAAAGGCTAAAGTTTTGAAAATATAGAACTGCCAATCTTTCCCCTGTGTGTCTTGAAAGCTTTTCTTTAGTAAAATGATGGAGCTAGGAGAAAGCAGTTTTATTTATTTGTTTGTTTGTTTATTGTCAGTTCTGGGGCTTGAACTCAAGGCCTGGGCGCTGTCTCTGAGCTTTTTCACTCAAGGCTACCTCTCTATTATTTGAACCACAGCTACCCTTCTGACTTTTTGGTGGCTAATTGGAGATAAGAGTCTCATGGACTATACTACGTGGGCTGGCTTTCCTCAGATCTCAGTCTCCTGTGTAGCTAGGATGACAGGCGTGAGCTGCCAATGGCTTTTTAATGTGATTGCTTGATAAAACAGAAAGAGGAATGCCCAAAGCACACTAAATTTTAAAACATGATTCTGTCCCACATGGTTAAATAGTCTTCTCAACAATTAACATGTGACGTTAAACATCAAGACTGTGTACTTCATACTTAGTTCAAGTTTTCATGGTGCCAGCTTCCAAGATGGCAGTTAAGGAAGGGAAAGGAATGACCGTCTCCATTCACTTTTCTACTCACCCACAAGCACATTGAACTGTGGCTTATGAGTCTCCACTATTGGGGATGAGAGAAAGGAGGAAGAGATTCAAGCAAAGCAATGGCTTAATTGTTAATATGGCTAATGGTTGTCTTTTGTTCTTTCTGAGCATGGGATGTTTAATGTTGATTCTTTCTCTTCTCAGAGCTTTTGTGTTATCCAAGATGGGCACTGGTAGCTCATACCTATAATCCTAGCTAGAAGTAGAGCTGTGGTTCAAGAAGCAGAACACTAGCCTTGAACAGAAAAGTTCAGGGAGAAGTGCCCAAGCCCCTGAGTTCAGGCCCAGGACCAGCATCCCCCAAACAATAAATGAATAGATAAATACATAAATAAATCACCCATATGTTGAATTTATTATTTTATTTTAACTTAATAAAATAATATTTTAAAAACAAACCTCAAAATGGAAATAAAAACTCAGCCTCAATAATGATTCTAACTTTAAGGTTTTAATTGTTGTTTGACCTAAACTTGTACTTTACAACATAACTGCTACTGTAAAATAAAAAAGGACAGACCACTAACAGTGTCATGTCCCATATAAGTTCTACTCACTCCAATACAATATGTACTTCTAAACTGTATGTAGAAAACTGTTGGAAGTGTGTTTTAATTCTTAACATATATGCTCTCACAAACTGTGGTTTCCAATAGAGGAAGTATGCTTATCAAGTTTTAACTCAGTTGAATCTTGGAAGAAGTTGTCAATTATGCAGAAAGAAAATTCAAGCATGAGAGTACTTAGGTAATCTCTTGAACTTTAAACTTCCACATCATAGTATTGGGTTCGATCTAAGATAAGACATGGAATAAATTCCCGTCTAAGATAAGACTGAATCAGTTTGCCTAGAGGTTGACACAACTGAGAACATGGCTTTTGACGGTAGCTGGAAGGTAGACCGGAGTGAAAACTATGACAAGTTCATGGAAAAAATGGGTAAGGACTTCCTTCTTCGCTGGCTCTCTCTTTGCATTCCTCACAGCTGTCCTGGCTTAGAGACTGGTTCTGGGTCATTGTGCTTCTGAGGAGAGGAGGGAAAACCAATCTTCTAGTCTCTTGCATTAGGAAGAATGCATTATTTCTCTAGGGGAAAGGAAGATTCTCCCAGCACCTACGAATGCACACAGACATTGAAAGATTAATTAGACTTTGCCAGAGAACCAGGCAGACATACAGGTACAGAGAACAAAGAAAGGTTTATTGCCAGGAAAGGGGGCCAGCAAGACTCCTTCTCACAAAGGAGAAGTGAGAAGAAGCACCTGCTATTGTCTGAGGTGATCTATATAACCTAGGAGGTTTAGGAGGGGCTAGAAGGGGCTAGGAGGCGGAGACCCTGGTGTGGACGTGGGGGCCAGGGGCTTCATCATGGCAGACTAAGATTTATGGTTGCTATTCAAATAGTAGATAAGGGTCCTGTAGCTGCCTGAACTAGAAGGTTACTTTAAGGGGCTCTTGTTGCCTTCTATGGTGGTAGCTGTCCCAAAGAAGTGCCATCCCAAGGTAAAGGGGGTTGAAAGTTGATTATTTACTGCCTTTACTATATGGACCCAGTGCTGCCCAGAAAGGGAGCATGTTAAGCTGTGGAGAAGGGAAGGAATAGACTAAGCTACGGGAAAGGAACTCATTCGCTAACAGACATATTCAGATATGTTTCCTTCATTGTTTTTGTTTGTTTGTGGTGACAGTCCTGGGGCTTGAACTCAGGGCCAGGGTACCATCCCTGAGCTTTTGTGCTCAAGGATAGTGCTCTTTCGCCTGAGCCATAGCTCCACTTCCTGCTTCTTCTTTTGATAGTTAAATGTACATAAGAGTCTTACACAGCTTTGAATCGCAGTCTTCAGATCTCAACCTCCTGAGGAGCTAGGATCGCAGGTGTGAGCCACCAGCACCTACTGTTTCTTTCATTCTTTAACTACTGGTGGTATCTATGAAATTGAAAACTAATATTTTGTTTGTTTAGAGAAACAAAATGGTAGTATGTAGTGAAAATTTCCAGATTTTTAAACTAGGTTTACAGGAAAAGCAAACACTATATAATAAAATAGTAGAAATGTGTTCTATAAAAATTCACTTTAGGGCTGAGAAGGTGGCCCAGTGGTAGAGCACTTGCCTTGCATGCATGAGGTCCTGGGTTCAATTCCTCAGCACCACATAAGCAGAAAATAAAAAAGCTGGAAGTGGTGCTATGGCTCAAGTGGTAGAGCGCTAGCCTTGAGCTGAGGAGCTGAAGGACAGCGACCAGACCCAGAGTTCAGGCCCTATGACCAGACCCCGCCCCCCCCAAAAATTCACTTTAAATAAATTAGATTTTATACTCTTCTCTGTTTTAGAAAACTCTCCAAAACAACCTCACAAAGCTATGTATTTTTTTTTGAGGAGGTTGATTTTAACTTGTATAAGTGTGCAATAATATTCTGATAAAAGTTGGGCAAACACATCTGTCATTTCCCCTAAGTAAACATCTGCATTTTTTCTAGCCTATAGCTTTGGAATGCCAAATGTTAAGTTTATGGAATTTGTATGCTCATGTAATAATGAATTTGGCCATAAATTTACTAAAATTTCTGTATGGAGTCCAGTCAGAAATTCCTCAAAAGGCAGATAATTGTGAAATTTAAACCCTAAAAGCAAGTTGGGTATGGTAACATATACCTGCAATTCAAGCACTCACAAGAATGAGTACATGGACAGAAAAGTGGTATTAACAAAAGAATATAGTGAATGTACAGAAGGACTGCTGTCACTTTACAAAAAAGTAAACAGCTTTTACTACTTCAATTGGCTTTCCTGAAATGTGTTTTACTTTATACTAAAACAAAAAGTTTGCTGGCATTGGGGCTTCAACTTAGGACTTTACACTCCTGATTGGCTTAAGGCTGACATTCTATCATTTGTACCACAGTCGAAGATGAGCCTCACAGACTTTTTAGCCCTGGCTGGCTTCAACTAGGATCTTTGGATCTCAGCCTCCTAAGTATCTGTCTTACAGGTGTGAGCCACCAGCCCTCAGCAACTTTATTAGTCTTTATTAAAATTACTCCACTATCTAAGAGGATTTGTTTGGAAGAGTGCCTGGGATCAGTTCTGATCCAACTGTGCTTACCTTTCCCTCCACAATGTAGCCAAAGCTGAGGCAAAAACAATACTAATGGGACTTCCTCTCCACTCTCAAAATAAAATTTAACAAGAGTTTAAAATAGAGCTCAGAACACAGATGTTCTGTGGGATTTTAACGTTTTTGTTCTCTATCTCTTTCCCTTTATAGGTATCAACATGGTAAAAAGGAAGCTTGCAGCTCATGACAATTTGAAGCTGATAATTACACAGGAAGGAAATAAATTCACAGTCAAAGAATCAAGTACTTTTCGAAACATTGAAATTGTTTTTGAACTTGGTGTCACTTTTAAGTACAGCCTAGCAGATGGAACTGAACTCACTGTAAGAAGTGTGTGTGTGTGTGTGTGTGTGTGCCGATCCTGGGGTTTGAACTCAGGACCTTAGCTGCTCAAGGCTGGCACTCTATCACTTGAGCCACAGCTCTACTTCCTGCTTTTTGTTGGTTAATTTCTTGCCTGGGTGGGTTATGAACCATGATTCTCACTTAACCTCCTAAGTAGCTAGAATTACAGGTATGAACCAGTGACTAGAAATAATTTTTATAAGCGACATATTCTTGGATTTTCCACCCAACACCAAACCAATCTGCTTTATTTCATTGGGTGGCTTAATTAGTAAAATCTGATGAAGCCAATGAAGTCTTTAAATTTATGTTGCATGGATTCTTGGCATATTTAAATACAGTGTTTTTATTTCCATTTCCATGTGAAAAGAATCTAGAACAAACAAGAATTAGGAAAATTCCCTTCAAAGATCTGATTGTAAACCTGTTCACAAAGAAATTTAAATATTTTTAACATTATATTCTGGTAGCAACAAAAAGCTTCTAGGATAACTACATAAAAATTTTGTATGCCAGGCGCCAGTGGCTCATGCCTGGAATCCCAGCTACAAAGGAGACAGAGATTAGAGAATCATGGCTTAAGCCAGCTAGGGAAGGAAAGTCCATGAGATTCTTCTGTCCAGTTAAACCACCAAAAAGCTGTAGGTGAAGCTATGGCTTGAGTAATAGAGCACAAAATCTCAGGAACAGCATCTAGGCTCAGAGTTCAAAACTCAGGACTAGCACCATTTAAAAAAAAACAACTCAGCAGATGGCAATTATGGAGGAAGTTGTACAGAATGGTTGTACTACATGGATTGAAACCTGGCATCATCACAAGATGGCTTTGAGTAAATTACTCTGCGTGTGTTTCCTTGGCTATAAAATGGAAGCAACAGTATCACTTCACAAGGTCAATGTGAAGGTTAAACAAAAAATTAAATATGGGCTGGGAAGGTGGCTCAGTGGTAGAGCGCTTGCCTTGCATGCATGAGACCCGGGGTTTGATTCCTCAGCACCACATAAGCAGAAAAAGCTGGAAGTGGCACTGTGGCTCAAGTGGTAGAGCACTAGCCTTGAGCTGAAGGGCTGAGGGACAGCACCCAGGCCCAGAGTTCAAGCCCCACGACCAATAAAAAAATTAAATATGTTATCTATCCATATATTAATATGACTCAAAACAGCCTCTAAGATGCAGGAGACCCTAACAAATGCCACCATCTTTTTACGGTATAGGGGAGCTGGACCATTGAAGGAAACAAACTTGTCGGAAACTTCCAACGCGTGGACAATGGGAAGGAGCTGAAGACTGTTCGCGAAGTCATGGGCAGTGAGCTAGTCCAGGTGAGCTGTGAGAGGCAAAAAACGTTCCAGAGGTAAAAAGAAATGACACAATAGCAACTATTGTATCATGGCTGACTTACAGAGTTAGTAAATAGATGGTTACTTTTGTTCTTATAATACATACTGCTTTCGAAAAATAGAAACTTTTCATGCGTATTTATGGAAAAGAATTAGCCACATAAATTCATGTGTGTGCCATCCACAGCAACAGCTGTTTTAACTACCAATCAACATTTTTAATGATAGTATCCAGTACATGCCTAAAAATCTTCCTATCAAGTACAAGGACAATAGCTCTATATTTTAACAGAAAATTCTTTCGTTTGTTTATGCTTCTCAGACTTATACATATGAAGGAGTAGAAGCCAAGAGGATCTTTAAGAAGGAATAAGCATGGTTCTTGGGACACAGCTTAAAATACAAATTGGACAGAAGATCTATTTTGCACCCAAACTGCTTTTCACTCGCCACCAAAAATAAAGTTACCGACTGATTAGTCTTTTAGCAAACATTGGTATACTTCCAGGCTTGTCAAAGTAAAAGAAGTAAAAGCTAATTTGGACTTAATTTGTGTTAAGATGGACATTTTTTGGTGCTTTCAAAGAATTTGTACCTCTTTTTAAAAACAGAGAAATAAATGTTATTCTCATACTGTTTACAAGTAGCCTTTTGTTATAAACAAGCAGCCAAGCATGGGGTTGCACACTTGTAATCACAGCCATATGGAAGCATAAAAGTGGGAAGCCTGCATTGAAGTCCCAGGCAGGTTGGAGATCTCCCTACCTGCAAAACAACTAACGCAAAAAGGGTAGGAGCATGCTCCTGGGTTCATGCATGCTTGCCTGAGTTCAAACTCCTATGCTGGAAAAACAAAGAAAACAAAAAGCTTTGTGACATCAAGCCTATGCTCTATGTTTTCATATTTGTTTTTGTTTTCATATTTGGTAACCTAAAAGCATAATTGCCTCTGAGTCTTCTCAACTGTGAGTGTCCATGATTTCCTTGGTAAGATCTACTCTTATAAAAGTAATATGTAGTGCCCCTCAGTAGATGAATGGATCAAGAAAATGTGGTATATATACACAATGGAATTCTACGCCTCCATCAGAAAGAATGACATTGCCCCATTTGTTAGGAAATGGAAAGACTTGGAAAAAAATTATATTAAGTAAGTCAGGCCCAAAGAAACACAGGTCCCATGGTTTCCCTTATTTGCAATAACTAGTATATGTCTGAGTCAAGCAGAAAAGCTCAGATAAGTTGATGTTAGGGAAATGAACCCTAAGATATGTATTGAATTTTTTTTTCTTTCATGCAATTGCTTCTAACACATTTATAAGATTATTTCTTTGTTGCTTTGTATGTCCCTCCCCCATGGTATAACCCCTGCTTTCACTGTATTTGATGTTGATATACTTTGTGGAGGGGAAGGGAAAAAACAAATCGTTTAAATAGGGATACAGGTGGACTCATTGCAACAATGAGAAGTATAAGTCATTATGTCGAAAACAAACTTTACAACTTTGGTGGGAGGGAGGAGGATTAGGTGGGAGGTGGGGGAAGGATGGGAAGGGATGGGAAGGGGAAACAAAGGAGGAGGCTACAATGCTTGGTAAGAAATGTACTCATTATCTTGCCCATGTAATTGTAACCCCTCTATACAGTATTTTCACAATAAAAAAGTAATATGTACTCAACCAAAAAATCTTTAGAAATAAAAGCAAATCCAAAAAGAAGTGTGTGCCTACTTGCACAATTCAAAGATGTTAGTCATTCTGATAGATCAAAATTTTTAGCCCTGCACCAGTGGCTAATGCCTTTAATCCTAGCTACTCAGAAGGTCGAGCTCTGAGGATCGAGGTTCAAAACCAGCCTGGGCAGGAAAGTCTGTGAGACTCTTATCTCCAATTAACCACCAGAAAATTGGAAGTGGTTCTGTGGTTCAAGTGGTAGAGCAATAGCCTTTGGCTGAAGAGCTGCGGGACAGCACCCAGGCCCCAGAGTTCAAACCTCCCAACCAACAACAACAACAAAATTTTTTTGATAATTTTGTCCCAGTCATCTTCTCTAGGTGTGAATTTTCCCAGTTCACGCCACGTTGAATAATATCATGGGACTCACATGTTGAGCTACATGAAAACTTTGTCTGCCAGTTACAGGTGTAACCCTAGCTATTCAAGAGGCTGAGATCTTTGGATTGAAGTTCAAAGCCAGCCAGGGCAGGAAGTCCGTGAAACTCTTATCTTCACCTACCCATCAAAAAGTTGGAAGTAGAGGTGTGGCTCAAGTGGTAGATGGCTAGCCATGAGCAAAAGAAGCTCAGGGACAGCGCCCAGGGTGAGTTCAAGCCTCAGGATCTGCACAACCCTCCACCACAACCCTCAAAGTTCAGTAACAAAAAAACACTCTGCCATAGTTTTCTACACCATCAGTGATTCTCAAAAGTCAATGAAGGACAGAAAGTGTTTGTGTTCTTAATCTCCCCCATCAAACTCCTAGGTCTGAATCCTGGAAAGTAAAACCAAGAAATTCAGACAACTTCCTGGTGATTTTGATCCTTGCATGCCCCATTTCTGTCTTTGGGAACTGCACATCTATAAAACATCAGATACTACTTCTAACTTCCACAACCTCTTCTCTATTTTTATAAACACATACTTTGGCCAATTTGCCAGGGCCCCAAATGTTCATTTTCCTTATATTTCTATGGGATGCACTATTTCATGGGCTTCAAGTAGGAGACTCTGCATTAGAAGGAAAGAAGAATGAAAGAAGGACAAATTTTTAAGTATTTGGAAATCTGTGAATCTGTTTGTTTGTCAGGTCCTGGAGTTTGAATTCAGGACCTAGGTGCTGTCCCTGAGATTATTTTGCTCAAGGCTAACGCTCTACCACTTAAGCCACACCTCTACTTGCAGCTTTTAATGATTAAGTAGAGATAAGAATCCTATGGATTTTCCTGCCCTTGCTGGCTTCAAACTGTGATCTGTACATCTCAACCCCCTGGGTATCTAGGATTATAAGTGTGAGCCCCTGTCACCCAGGTGAATCTCTGTTTGGACAATAGTTAAGATGTAATTGTTCTACTATGTGCCATGCACAGGCTTTGTATAGCATATGAGAAGGACATTATGAGAAGGGAATTAAGAAACTGGAGAAAATGTGATCTTTAAAGGAAATAAAAAACTTAAATCCACTGTTCATTTTTTGACTTAATAAAAAAATCTTCAGATAAGAAATACTAATTAAGAGCTGGGAATGTGGGGGCTGGGAAGGTGGTTCAGTGGTAGAGTGCTTGCCTTGCATGTATGAGGCCCTGGTTCCAATTCCTCAGCACTGCATAAGCAGAAAAAGCCAGAAGTGGTGCTGTGGCTCAAGTGGTAGAGTGCTAGCTTTGAGCTGAAATGCTGAGGGACAGCACCCAGGTCCTGAATTCAAGCCCCAGGACTGGAGAGAAAAAAAAAAGAAATACTAATTAATTACCAAGATTTTCACATGCTTCTTTCTTTATACAGTTTCAATGTATTGTCATGTCTTTCACCTTGCTAGTCTTGCAAATGTGAAACAGGAGAAGTGTGGGTTTTATCTCATTTGCAAGTAGAGAAAGTGAGGCACAGTTTATTCGCTTATGTCTTGTAGGCCAAGATGAACATAAGACCCAAGTGTAAGTCCTAACTTTCAGTCTGATGCATGGTGATATAATGCCATGACTCCATCAATTTTTTTGGGGGGGAGGGGGTCCGGTCGTGGGGCCTGAACTCTGGGCCTGGGCACTGTCCCTCAGCTCTTCAGCTCAAGGCTAGCACTCTACCATTTGAGCCACAGTGCCACTTCCGGCTTTTTTCTTTTTTTGCTTATGTGGTGCTGAGGAATCGAACTCAGGGCCTCATGCATGCAAGGCAAGCACTCTACCACTGAGCCACCTTCCCAGCCCTGACTCCGTCTATTATAAACAAAAATATCTTAGGGAAAAATTTCTCTTTATTTATTAGTGGCACCCAATAATAGCACTGCAAATAAATCAGGCCAAACTCTAACATAATGGCCATCCAATGGTTAATCATTTTTCTATTTCTAGCATCATTGAAGGGTTTCTTTTCGCAATTTGTGTCCATTCTAGTATTAATTTCCACTATTCATTAATATTGGAGAGCAGGAAATCATTTATATACTTCTCTTTAGGACAACTAAGCTTTGCATGGTACCTCCCTGTTTGGCCAAGAGAGGGCGCCTGATCCAAGAGCAGTCCTCATCTAGCCAGTCTTTTTTTCCTTGTTACTTAAAAAATTTTCTTCTAATAGTGACATACAAAGGGGTAACTGTTGCATAAATCAGGTAATATTTCTTTTGACCAGTGACACCCCTCCCTCATTTTGCCAGGTTCCCGCCCCCCCCACTCCTCGACCCCCACCCCCAAGTTGTATAGCTCTTTTCTAACAGTGTCCAGTGTGTATCACTGCTAAATTGGTTCTCCCTTTGTCCCACATTTTCTGTGCTTCCTCTTTTCCTCCCCAAATCAGATAAACTTATGTACAAAACAAAGGGTACAGCAATAGAAAAGTGACAAAAGGAAAAAGGAAATAAAAAAGATCTGCAAACAACCTATAAGCAAAACCAATGGATAGTAAAAGACAAATAACTACATGATTAATTAAACAGCACTCTAAACATTCACACAATAAGAACTAAGGGGGATATTCTTAAGAGAGGATCACAAGGGCTCTGTAGCTATGTGCAGATGATCATACAAAATGATGCTTATGTCCCCAGTTTTAAGCTTTGGGCAAGGCACAAGACCTGCTCATTGAACCTAGAAGAATCTCTTTTTCAGAAGCTTGAATTTGAGAAATACCCAGTAGGCAGCAGGCTAGAAGAGGTTTTAAAGAGAACAGACAATAAGCATGTGTCAGCAATATGTGACTTGGAGCGCAGATACAAGCAGGGGTGTGCGAAGGCCCGTACTTTTCTTGGTATGTCATCCTCTTGCTTTGCTATCAAGAGTTCTGGCATCATGGAGTCAGAAAATCTCCTTCATTTCTATCTTTTGGGGTGAGTTGGAGAAAGACTGGTAAATATTCTTCTTTAAATGGTTAGCAGAATTCACCAAAGAAGTGATCTGGACTTGGACTCTTTGTCAAAAGGACTGATTACTGATTCAATCTTCTAGCTTCTATAGAGATTTTTAAAATTTATTCTTGAGTTATTTTAGGCAATGGATATAATGGATATAATCCCTAGGAAGATGTCTATTTCATCCAGATTGTTTTAATGTCACAGTATTCTCTTCTAATGTTTTATTTCTATATGATTGATAGAATAATTGAAATTTACTTGTGAGTTTAGTTATATATGTCTTTTTGTTTTTTGTCAATCTAGAGAAGTAGATTTGTC